TCAAAATAATAAAAGTAGGAATAGTAGAAGTGATGCTCTTACAATAAAGCCTTTATTGCTTAATATAATCTGTGAGCATAGATTATATAAACTGAGTCATTTTATTTATTTTTAATGATAAGGGAAGTTTTCTAGATTGTTAGCTTATTCTTTCTTTATTGTTTTCCGAGTGTTGAAAGATGTTGTAACAATAAGATGTTAAATCCTTAATTCTGCTATAATTATGCAACTCAACAGGAAGTCCAAAAATATTACTGTAATCTAATTTATATTTTATCTTATTTTTCTCCTTGAAGGAGAAGAAAATGGATAGAAAATGGCTTGTTAATGTGCAGTGAAACAATTAAATTACATTGTGGGATATTGTGATGAAATGGTGTGTATTTAACCTTTTGTGTTTTGAACCATTTTTGGTAGATAGTTTGAAAATACTATTACACCCTGTTGTTTAACTGCCTTTAAAAATGTTTTGTGCAAAACAAATAGCCTAATCTTAAGGATTTTTGTGGATGCTAAACTGGAGCAGAACCAAAGGCACCCTGACTGCCAAAACAAATGGGAGAGATCATTTCCTCTCCTGGTTTGGCAGAACATGACGACTGTAAAAAAGTAACTTTCCACTTCCAGTGAGGTCTCTTTGTCATGTTTTGTCACCTCAGTTAGCTTTTGAAAGCAGTCCTGAGCCTGTAAAACTTTTCTAACAATGCCAAACCAAAGAATCTAAACCAAACTTAACACCCCCAACAACATTTTAGTAACATTTTCCCATATATTGGATTTTGCTCTGTTGTGTGCTCATGATCTAGTATTTTCCTCTCTCCCCCTTCTATTTCCTCAGTGAAACCTACTCAACATCTTTTTGTCTCCCTTCAAAGATCCTACTGGTCTTTGAAAAAATTACTACATACTTCCAACCTTCCTTCTTTCCTGATTTAACTGGAAAATGTTACTTACTCATTTGGTACTTACTACATTTCCATGCCAATAAATCTTACTCTCAAACTGGACTGTGAGCTCTTTTAATGAATTGACCTTAGAGAGCCTGTGATACAAATGTGTTGATTGATACAAGGCAATCATCAAACATGGCACAAACAGAGACTGTGTTTGATGTATTGTTCAGACAAACATTGCTATGTATACAAAAATATACAGAGCACTGCCTTGCTTTCTGCAATTTATAGTCCAATAACAGAGCTAACACTAAATGCACAAATCATTAGACTCCTAGAGAAATGAAAAACACTACAGGGGATAAATAGAGAGAGAAACACAATGTTGTAAAGACACCAGGAAAGGTTTCGTTTTGAAACACTTGGTAAAATGTGTCTTAAAGAATAGTTTCATCGTTTGTAGAGCAATTGCTATCATTATGCTTGCTGCTTGGATCAATGTATATTCTGAACGTCATCTTTGTCACATATTATCTTTTGTTTGTTTGAAGCTGTGAGGGGTCTGGGAGCGTTCCTCATATTGAACACAATTAGCTTTTCACAGTTTCATGGATGGTGTCAAAAAACATAGAACTCAAGGGTCAGAGACAAAGGTCTCTTATTACTGGGACACAGCAGGCAGCCAGAGACTCATGTTTCCAGCACTTTCCTTGCCCTTCAGTCCCTCAGCAAGCAATGTAAAAGCTGTACATATAGTGGATATTTGGTCAATTTCAGAGACCTCTACGAAAACTCTGAGTCCTACAAGGAGGCTGCCAGCAAATGTGCCACACCTTGGACCAGAGGGTGAACAATGCCTGTATTATCATGATCAGGAAAAATTGGTCTTCCATTTACTGTTGTTGTTGTTAGTTGTTCTTGTTTTGGTTTGTAGAACTAGGAGGTTGAACCTGGGACCTTATGGATAATAGCCAAGTATAGAACCAGTGAGCTAAATTCCTGGTCCTCCATTTATCCTCTTTCTCATCTTTACAGGTTACTGGGAAAAATAATATGAAAAAAAACTATCAAAAATATAGAATGGTTTTAAGAATTACCCTCAAAAAGTATGTTTGCCTAATCCTGGCAATGGATATAATGAAACAATGATTTAAGAGAATATAAGATATTGTGATCTGGAAACACAATTTAAGGAAGTTATCTTCGCAATAATGAAGAGAAAATGGGTAAAAAGTGATTCTGTTATTAAAAAGCAGAAAATCATTGCATTTCATACAAATAATAGCTTATTCTGAATTAGGAGTGATGTGTTCTATAATTTATACATATTGATAAGTAATTTAGTCATGAAAGTATTTCTAGGATGGGAAGGGGAAACAAAGGAGGAGGCTACAATGCTTGATAAGAAATGTACTCATTATCTTGCCCATGTAATTGTAACCCCTCTGTACAGTATTTTCACAATAAAAAAGAAAGTATTTCCAGTGACAAGTGATCCCAAAATGAGTTTACATTTTCTTTTATGAATGCATGTACAATATATATATTTGAAATTCATGTACACATGTACAGATTCTAACATATGCATCCACAGAAAATCCCCAAATTTTAATCTCCAGGTAGAATGGGTCTTAGAAACCATCAGAGGAAACCTACCCCTCCATATAATAATTTCCCCCACCAAAGAGTAAATGAGGTAAAACTTTTACTCTCTGTACTTGACTTCCAGGATTCATACCACATAATAAGGTTGGTAACTCCTTCAGACTCAAGCAAGTCTGCAACTGAACTTTATATACTATAAAATATTTACGTGTGATCTTTCTTTAACCATTGATGGAATCATTGCTAAAATCTATTTGAAGATTGGTATGTAGGTTTTAGTAATTATAATAGGTTTTATTTTACATCTTCACCTTTTTTAGTCTTTTATTCTCATGTTGGAATATCAAAAACTCACGTGCTTTCATTTAAAATTTATATAGTACACGGTGGAAGTTAAAGAATACCTGATCCTGGGCTGGAAATGTGGCTTAGTGGTAGAGTGCATGAAGCCCTGGGTTTGATTCCTCAGTATCACATGAACAGAAAAAGCCGGAAGTGGTGCTGTGGCTCAAGTGGTAGAGTTATAGCCTTGAACACAGAGAGGCTCAGGGACAGCACCCAAGCCCTGAGTTCAAGCCCCAGGACTGGCCAATAAAAACAAAAACAAAAACACACAAAAAAGCAACAACAGCAACAACAGAATACCTGATCCTGACTTTGTTAGTAGGAAAGTCTTTGGGAGTTAATGCACTAATTATAATCAAAGCATACAGTGCTTATTTCTATGTTAATAAATCAGATATTACAAAGATGATTGTAAGTACTATTGTCATCACTTTTATAATTTTCCTGTATTTATTATTTATCAGGATCTGGATTTTCTACACAATGTAGAATTAAGCAATGCACCTCTTTTATTTTATTTCTGGAATATAATTGTTTTGCTTGGGTTTATATAGGATATATATATATATATATATGTTTACATACACATATTTATATATATTTAATCTTGAATATATTTGGAATTTACAAATACACAACAATCTCACAAATGAAAATGCACACAAGCCCAGTTGGGTAAAAGTAAAGGCTGAAATGAGCCAGTGCATAATTTCCCTATTGAACGATGACATCACATGTTAACTCCAGAGGAACATTGTCTCACATTCATGCCAATACTTAGGCTTTATCATCTATAGATATAGGCTTTATCATCTTTAGATAAACCAGAAATGTGGATTTCTCATTGTTGAATGTTGACCAAACTTCAAAAATGACTCAAGTGTTTTCTACCTGAATTAAAAATACTTCCTTTGAGCAAGCAACATCTCATATTAATTAGATAACCAGAATATTTTTTTCAGACTAAAAGAAAATGGTTTAGTGACAAGTACAGTGAGAGGAGATATAATAGGCTAAGGGAACACACAGTGGTAGAGCATAAAAGCTTAAGGTCAACCCCTAGGCTATGAGTTCATGCCCCAGGGCCAGTGAGGGCATATTCACACACACACACACACACACACACACACACACACACACACACACACAATTACATCAATATGCACGGAACAATATAGTATATTCTTTATAAAGAATTTATATGAACAGAAAAGTACTATAACCAAATATAGTAGCAATAATGTGGAGGGGTGTAAGTGAATAGAGAAGGAAAAAAATAAATGATTTAAATAAGGAAGAGTACTTTAAGATCAGAGATGACAAGGAACCATGAGTATAAAAATCTCAAACTTCTGCGCAAGCATTTTATGAGACAAAAAGCATAAACAAAATGTCTGGCACATAATGTGATCCTGTAGTCTAAGAAAAAAGTGGGGTGAGTGGAACACAACAGTCTGATAAAAGATGGTGCTAGAAAATAATTTCTTTAAAAATAACTACTGTAGTCAAAAATTAGTGAAATAAGAACTTAATGATTTCTACGTGTGGTCTTAACAAACTGCTAGGAGGTACTGTCGTAGGAGAAATAGAAGTACTTGGTATGTTTTCTCTCTTTAACAAAGCCAAAATAGTTAGAATGTAATGAAAACTTAGAAACTAGCTGTTTAATAATGTTTTAAATGACAAAGCTGTAGTGTAGTACATTACTGGTGGTTCCAATATTCATCAGCATTTACAAAGCTATTCATACTTTAACCTGCTCACCCGGCAAACATTACTGAGTTCTCACCACATACAGGTTTCTGTGGTTGGTGGTAGGAATGTAAACGAAACTCCAGGAGGTTGCCTACTTTGCATGGACACTGGAAGGCAGAGGTTATGACAGGTCAAATACAAGAGTTGGCTTAATAGCTGGCCTCTCCTCTACTGAGACTTGAGGAGAGATTTAGGGGACTTAGATTAGGGGAAAAAATCCAAAAACTTAAGACAAGTTTCTTAATTTTGCAAATAATTTTGTGAAGATAAGGTCTTGTTTTAACTTTTCAGAAATAGAACCAAGAGGAAATGCATTGAATTGCAGAAGACAATGAAATATGTTGTCAGTGTGGTTTATTTTTATGTGCAGTTGCAATAATAGCCTATTATCTTCCATTTCAGATACATTGGCCTACTACAGCAGTAAAAATGGAAGAATGCATAATGAAAGGAAAAGATGCAGTAAGTACTATTTAATGTAAATTAAACAAATCCTCAAATTATATTCCTGGTGAACCTCAAAGTAGGAAATCATGAAAGTTTCATTTCATGTAAGTTTCAGAAGCACATAGACACTTTTGTTCATGAAGAAAATAATGTAAAAAAATAATGTAATGTAATAAAGTAAATGTATACATACAATGAGTGTCTGATTGTTAAAAATAATTTCAATGTAGAATAGGAGGAACCCAAGGTGCTAGTCAGATCTGGCTTTTATTGTATTTTCTTCAACTGAGATTTATAACTTCCTTTCAGTAATTGATTTCTTATGTATTTGGAGAAAAATAATGGTAGATTTTTTTGTTTTGTTTTTTGTTTATTTTTTTAAACTTGAGGAAAAGCGAGGTACATTCTTTATATTTCATTTCACTTAGATTAATAAGTTAGAAAAAATGAAGAAACAATGAGAGACAGAATAAAGTTTGAGGAGGCAAGGGAAATAAACATGGATTATGGGTTTCACAGTCTTTCCAGGATCTTTACTTATATAAGAAGCAATATCTCATTTCTGTGTAGTTTTCAAAAAGGGTCTGGATAGAAAAATGCCATGCCCAGCACTATTCCTGACACATTGGGACATGTGTGGAGAAAATCACATGCTAAGAGTAGCTGGCTGATCTGATATAACACATAGCTTGAAAAAGAACTTATCCCTTTTCACACTCAGGAAAAAAAAACCCACCATGTAAATGAGTAACATGCATCATATCAATCCCTTATTCTCTGGAGCAATTGGGTGACCGCCAAGGAATGAGTCAACACATTCTTACTGCCTTAGCCCACAGCATGATGCTGACTAATTGAACATACTCTTAGGCCATGTCAACTAAGCCAAAATGAGGTCTAATTGGTTCACTGAAGATATAACAGTATATCACCCGAGGGAAGGCAATTGTGTACAGCAATTTGAGAGCCAATATTTCCACCATGCCTGGACTATCTGATTCTTGCAATGCTATATGGTTCATCCAACCAAATGTTACAGGAGGAGGAAAGTGAATAAATATATCTGGATGTCCTGGATAGTTGACTGAGTAATTCATTGTTCATTCTTGACAATGGCAAGATAGCCTCTGAATTACTCATGGCACAGAGGATCTGCTGGGCCACCCTAACATGAGAGACCTTACACACAGAATCTCTCAATCTCCGCTTTTACAACTTAACAATTTGTTTAACATTGCATTATTAATTTCTAAGTGATTTGATTAAAAGTTTATTAATTACTTCATAATTTATTTTTGGTGAAAAGAACAATGCCTAACTTGTAGAGGGCATTTGCTAGAATTAATTTGACCTGGTTGATTTTGAAGCAATTTTAAACATTTTAAAAATAAAACTAACCTGGTGACTTTATTAAAACATGGTCCAGCATGTACTGTATATTATAAACTTTGTTTGATTAGTAGGCAGACTATAACAATGTTTAAAAGAATAATACTGTCTTCAAAATCCTTCCAGGTAAAACCAAACAAACCTGACTTATTTTATAAATGGAATTTTATTGAGTAACAGGCACACACATTCACTGTTTTGTCATCTTTGCACCAGAGATGAGAACCTGCAAAAGAGGCCATATAGCCCACAAAGTAAATTCCTTTACAATACACTACAATGCTTTATAAAGAATATTGATCCTGACTGAAATCTTACAAAAATAACAAATTCACAATAACTTTACAATAAGATGCTATTCCTATTTAGATTTTTCTATTTATTTGAATTTTTTTCTAAAAGTGGTTTATGTGAATTTGTGCTTTTGAAGCTGTTTTACTTTCTCCAATGTCAAATTTTTGTAATAACCTATGTTCTGCATCTGTTTCTTTATGAATAAAAAACTTTTTCCTATTTGTTAGGAAATGGAAAGACTTGGAAAAAATTATATTAAGTGAAGTAAGCCAGGCCTAAAGAAACATAGGTCCCATGGTTTCCCTTATTTGCAATAACTAGTATATGTCTGAGACAAGCAAAACAGTCAGATAAGTTGATGTTAGGTGAAATGAACCCCAAGATAAGTATTCAAATGTTTTTGCTTTCATGCAATTATTTCTAACATATTTATAAGATGATTTCTTTGTTGCTTTTTATGTCCCTCCCCCACGGTATAACCCCTGCTTTCACTGTATTTGATGTTGGTATAATTTGAAGAGGGGAAGGGCAAAAACAAATCGTTTAAATAGGGATACAGGTGGACCCATTGCAACAATTAAATGTATAAGTCGTTATGTCGAAAACAAACTTTACAACTTTAGGGGGGCGGGGAGGTGGGAGGGAGTGGTAGGGACACAGGGGGGGACATTGGAAGGGATAGGAAGGGGAAACAAAGGAGGAGGCAACAATGCTTGATAAGAAATGTATTCATTATCTTGTCCATGTAATTGTAACCCCTCTATACGGTATTTTCACAATAAAAAGAAGAAATTCAAATTATAAATAGAAAAAATAACCTTTTTCCTATATATTCATTTTTTTATTTAATGCCTATTCATTTTTTTATTCTGAGCTTAAAAAGTAACAGTATTGGGAACAATTTAATTACAAATATGAAGATATTGTCCTGAAAATCTTTATGCTTGAATATATTCCTGAACATTTAAAATGTTTAATTTTGCTCAAAAATGCAAGAAATTATTACTTCCATTATAAAATGTGAAGTACACTTCCCTGCTAACTAAAGTCCATGAATGAGTCACCTCGATTTCTTCTTCCATAGATCCCTATTTCCTCTTCTTTCACTGCTCATGTTCCTCTAACTGAGAAAACTTACAGTGAAAAGCAAACTTTCTAGGATTAGGGAAAGTATAAAGAGATTGGAGTGGCTATATGTTGTTATGTGCTAATCAGTCCCTTTTATTTGGATCCTGCTTTAGAGTGACTGTGTAAACTATGTCCGGGTTTTGCATCACTACAACAGGACACATCTTCTCACCTGTGGTACTGGAGCTTTTGATCCACTTTGTACCTTCATCAGAGTTAGGAACCATTTGCAGGTAAGACAGTTTGTTCCATGCTCTACTATGAAGAAAACTGATGCTTGGACTATCTTTTACAGGACAAGAAAGTGGGGGCATTTCTTCTCAAGAAAGAAGAAAGCATTTTTGACGTACTGATTTAGTTTGCTTGCGATAAGCTGATCTCTTGGGACCTTTAGAACTTTTCACAGCTCTAAATCTGAAAACTGAGTACATTTCTACATACTTATTCACAAAATGATCTTACTTGCATAATCTTTCCATCTAAAAGCATTTTTTAACATTACAATGTTTTATATATTGTGTTTTTACTATTTTATTATCATCTATGCAACTTGCAATATGTGTTTACAAAGACAAATAGGTAAATATATACATATATACATATTACATAAAATTGTTATAAATAAAATGACACATGTAATATTTAAACAAAGAACATGCAAAAAATTGATGCTATAATTGTGTTGACCTATTGTGAGGTAGGATCACAGACAAGGGAAGGATTTTTAATTTATTAAAGACAGACATGTGTAGGATAAATCTGTACACTTCTTTCTCTAAGACTTTACCACTAGACAATATGGTATTATAAGGTAATGGATGCAAATTCCACCTGAATTATGCTGTGTATGTTTGAGAAGTAGATTCAAGGTTAGCACTCGAAACTAGTCTTAAAACCTGGATAAATGCAGGGCACCTGTGGCTCACGCCTGTAATCCTAGCTACTCAGGAGGCTGAGATCTGAGGATCGTGGTTCAAAGCCAGCCTGGAGAAGAAAGTCCGTGAAACTTTTATCTCCAACAAATCACGAGAAAACCAGAAATGTTGCTGTAGCTCAAGTGGTAGAACACTAGCCTTGGGCTGAACAGCTGAGGGACAGCGCTCAGGCCCAGAGTTCAAGCCCCATGACCAAAAACAACAATGACCAACAACAACAAGAACAACAAAAAACAAAAACAAAAACACCTGGATGAACTCTCAACTCTTGTTGATTTTATACACACTTGGAAGCACTTTATATCACAATGCAGTATATGAAACATATAAAGTAATATTCAGATCTCAGGAATGTTAATTTTCATTTAAGTTAGAAGGTAGCATCCAACATTCATATGTTCTGATTAAAATAGAGAACTGTATTTCATACCTAAGTAGGTGTACATACCCACCAATAAAAGAGCATAGTGACTGCCAAGTATGGCTAATAACCACATGTAAAAATAATCATTTACCACCAAAAATCATTTCTGATATTTGTTGTACTAGTTAACATTCAGATGCAAACATAATCAGCAATATTGAAATATATATGTATATATCGACATATATACATATACCTTTAGAGAACACCTCTGAATAGGGCACTTCAGCTGATAACTGTCCTTACAGGGAGTATTTTTCATTGGTTTATTTTAAATATTAATATAACATCTCTCTGGTAGGTTAAAGTCAAACAAATGCATCACAATGAACTGACTGAATCATTTCAAAGAAAGAATGAAAATAATATCATAGAAAAGGCTAGCATTAAGAATATTTCTGTCATAGATTTTATTGATTCTGTGTATATTAAATCCTATTGTGAGCATTGTACTTAGATATTATAAATTATGTATTTTCAAACTGCTAGTTTATATTGTATTTTGAAGCGTGTTGATTTTACTTGGCTTGAGTCATACTCAAAAGTCTCTCACAACAGTAGCCAATCTTTTAGCTTTCAAAGCTGTGTCTCTAGTGTCATGCTTGCATGTATAATTGAATATAGCCGAGTATTTAGGAAATAACCTATATACAGACAGACTTCAGGGTGCCTACATCTATGTTTAGATATCTTCCCTTATTTTTCAGCTGATCTGACCTGTAAGTCTTTGTTCTCTTTCCTTTCCCAGGCAGTAAGTACTTAACTTTCTCCTTAAGTTCTAGTCATTCCTCTCCACAGACTTGGGAGAGAGGAGTTCTCCCCCTGAAAAACACTTCAGTCATTCTTAACTAATCTTCGGTGCATTGAAATAGTTACATTTAAGATTTTTTTCCCTTATACTTTAATCACTGTTTGTGAAAGAGTTAATACAAGTCTAATAGCTGCACTATCATTAGCAGAATGAAACGGGTTTTAGCTTAAAATGATGTTGAATATTGTGGGGTATTTAATTCTAAGTATTAAAAATGAATGGGATACTTGAACCATGTTAGAATTTTGATATGATTTTTATCATTTAAATAATGTCTTATATAATTACTTAAATATTAAATCTGACTTACATACGTTGAGAGATCATGAGGGTATTTAATCATTTTGCAATAGCAACGCCAAACAAGTATGAAACTGAAGTGAGAAGCTACTCAGGATGGGAGCACACACAGCTTACTATTTGATCAGACATTACATATAAAAGGGAATTAAAACCAGTTCCAGCTTTATTTCTTGTTGATTGAGAAGAAATGCATTCTGAAAAAGGAAGCTATGCAAGCAAAGTAGGCTTTTGGTGGAACGGAAGGTTCCCGTTCCAATGTGCAGTTGCTGGAAAGATTCAGTGTGGAGTCAGTGTAGATTCAATTATTAAGTTCTGATGGGATAAGTGATGGTCTCCTGTGAAGGTCTCTCCACTCTCTCACCTCTAAGATGTGTGAGAGAGTACTATCACATCTCGCTTTGCTTTCTCCCTCTCACTTTCTCAAAATAACTTGGAGAATGCCATTATTTAGGTGCTAGGAAAACGCCTCAGGAGTTATCAATGTAAGTACAAGATGAACACAGAGAGACAGAGAGAGGTTGCAATAAAATTATTACAAATTCAGAATCATACCTATAAAAGGAAAATGAAGTTTTAAAATATTAGGTATAGAGAGAGATCTACAGACAGCCATAGAGCACATGTTTGCCTAAGAGGATGAGTGAATAGAAGATTAAGACATGGTTGAATATGACAAACTACTGGAATAAAACTGTTTTATCTGTTTTAATAAAATCATTAAGGAAAAGGGTTTGGATGAGAGAATATTTTTGTTTGTATAGATACAGAAAACTTCAATTGTTTATTATAGGATAAGACAGAAAAGACTGTTTGCCCTCTTGGAGACATGGAGGGCTCACTAGTGAGCAAATTTTCCAGAAAGGGAAACAGGATCTTCAAGGAAACTAACTTTTGGACAGATGGATACAAAGGGTTATTTCTTGAGAGAGAGACTTCAAGTCAGGACACTAGATTGGATACTATCTTTGTCTCTTTGTGTATGTGTCTCTCTCTTTATCTTTCTGTCTGTCTCTGTCTTTGTCTCTGTCTCTCTGTATCTGTCTCTCTTTCTCTCTCTTTTTTTTTCTCTCTCTCTCTCTCTGTTCATCTGGCAGTGACTCCCTTCCCCATAATCTGGATTTTTAGTCCTGATTCTTTTTATGCTTTTCCTGGACAAATCTGCATCCTATTCCTGGCTATTTCTTCTGGGAAGGAATCTTGACTATTAATTTTGAGAATTCATCCTTGCCCCAGACCCTTGAAATCACCCAGAGATAGAATCAGTAGATCTCCCTGCAGCATGAAGACCCTCATTTAAGAAGACAGGGTGTCTGGGTTGATTCCATATCTTAGCTATGGTTAATAATGCTGCAATAAACATAGTTGTGCTGATAGCTTTAGTTTTGCCTTGTTTGTGATCGTTTGGGTAGATGCCCAAAAGTGGGATTGCTGGGTCATAGAGGAGCTCTATGTGGAGTCTTTTGAGGAACCTCCAAAGTGGTTGAACAAGTTTACACGCCCACCAATAATGCAGTAGCATTTTGGCCACATCCCCTCCAGCATCTGTTATTAGATTTCTTGATTATAGCCATTCTAACTGGGGTGAGGTGCAATCTCAATGTTGTTTTGATATGCATTACTTTTATGGCTAGAGAAACTGAACATTTATTTCTTCCTGTGTCTACTGGCCATTTTTATTTCCTCTTCAGAGAAGTCTGGCAGTTGTTTCTTTGAGATTTGTTGTTGGGGGATTTAATTTTTTGAGTTCTAAGTATATTTTAGATATGAGACCCTCTCTCTGTACATGATCTTTACAATAAAAATATATATTAAAAAAAGAAGACAGGGTGGTCAGAGAAATACCAGGGTTCTGGTATATTATAGGTGAGCTAAATGTGCACCAAGATGGGCCAGGTCGAGAAAGGAAGAGTCTAACTTGTCAAATTGCACAGATGGAATGCAGATATGAAAATCAAGCTCTCAAGCTGTCTTAGGCATGTACAATTTGAACCATGAGAAAGAGGTGGTCAGTCAATTGTGCCCAGAGAAAGAGAAATAGCTAATCAGCACAATCCTTCTACCCAGTAAAAACATTTTCTCGTTTCTCCCATGTCTGTGTATCACAGGCACTATGCCCTCTTCTCTCTAGTGGTATCCATGGCTCAATAAACCTTGCACTATCTTATTTTCTTGCCATGTTAAATCATTTTACCAACACATAGCATAAGTCTGAAACATTCACAACATACATTTTTAATTTCTACTTTAAAATGGTGCTTCACTGTCAATGATCACATGGGAATTTGAGTCTTCTTGTGTGAAAACTGTTTTTTTTTTAATTGTAAAGATACTGTTCAAGGTAGTGAATACGTTGAGCATTGTAGCCTCCTCCTTTGTTTCCCCCTACCATCCCTTCCTTCACCATCTCCTCAACTCCTCCCCTCCCTACTTCTGCTTCCTCTTGTGAGATTCCATTACTCTATGTTGCTTCTAAGTCCATAGGTTTTCTACATAAGCTTTTATTTGGGGGCTTCTAGAGATGCACTGAGAAGCAGTTTTGCAATAGACCTTGTTGGTGAGACTTCGTTTCATCTGCCTAGTTGATCCTTCTGGATTTACAGAGAAATTTCTGTGAGGTGAAATATGTGCCTCTGCCGATGCCCTCTCAAAAGTCTTAAAATACTTTCTTAGAGAATAAAATGTTATACAAACATAAAACATTCCACAAAATGCAAAAGTATGTCTACCTATAGTTTGACTCATGTCTCCGAGAAAGTGGAA